ACCGACTAACGGTTAATTTATGCCTCAAACGTAAAACTCATTACAGTTTGAAATGTAATCCTTAGTTGAAAAGCACATAGCCCCGCTCTCAAAACCGCCACGATACGTTTTAATGGGAGGAAAATGGCAATTGTCGGCGGCCCAAATCTCATTGTCAGGGCCTGGATTGTCGCTGCTGAATATGATTGAAGTACTCGTTGTTGGAGTCGTAACGAGCTGGCATCTATCATGGCCATATCAAACTGGCATCAAACAATTTCAAATGGATCGAATGAAAAATCAACTGGCGTTGAAAATGGCCAGGCCAATTGCGAAACAGGCAACAGCAGCAGCCGCCTCTCAGCCGCCTTGTTGACTGTTTTGTATGCATGCAGCGAACGTGATCGGTTGCCTAACAGCAATTTTAGCTGCTAGATATCGCTCCAGAACAAAGTGGCCAACGCGCAGCGACAATCTTGCTGCAGCGAGCAACGCACAGAAGCAGCAGCAGCGGCAGCAGCAGGGGCAGCAGCAACTGCTGCTTGCAACAGCAAACAAAACAGCAGCAACTGTTGCTGCTGTTGCTGCTGCTGCTGCTGCTGCTGCAGCTGGCTGGGGCGAATCATCGGCGCATTTCACTTTGGCCAAAGTCAATGATTGAAATTCTAAGTTGCAACTAGTTGTTGTTGTTGTCGTTGCATTTGCTGTTGACCTTTTCGCATGAGAATCGCATGCTGATGATGGATACACTGCCGCTGCGACTGTTGCTGCTGCTGCTGCTGTGGACTGAATCTGTATATAGACTTGGGCACACTGTCAGCTAGACAGTTGCTCAACTGCTGCCACAGCTGTCAGTGCGCACAGCTCGTCATGGGCAATTTAAGTGGAAGTGGAAGAAAGGTTTGGGCAGCAGCAACAACACATATACACACACACACACACACACACACACACATGCACATGCACATGCACATTCGACATGTACATCGATGGCAGAATGCCAAAGTCAAAGCCAAAGCAAATACGCGACGGATAATTGCGCATAGAACCCAAAAAAAAAAAAGAAAGAAGAAAAATTTGAAGTTAGAATGTTGTAAGCGACTGCGTAATACACGTTCACAGTCCAACAACAGCTGACAGCCAAAACTTCTTAAGCGAAATCGATTGTTCGACTTATTGACAGATTTTTTCTATCGATCTTTCGAAGTTCTCCTCAGTTCTCCTCTCCTCTTGCTCCAAAGCGGCCGCAGTTATAGGTTTGCCTGGCATATTTTCCAAGTTTTTAGACCATCATTTCAACAACTCCTCTTTCTTATCAAATCGAGAACATTTAATTTCAGGTTTAGAAAATTGATCAGTTGAGAAAAGTACAAAACATTTTAATTCTAACGAAATTTTCTGCTAAAAAATTGAGAAATTTTTGAGTTTTTGATTGTTGGAAAATCAATACACCCGTTTCAGCTTGTGAGCGGGCATCATAAAACAAGCATAGAACAAGCCTTGGCAACAAACAAGCAGCAGCAACAACAAACTGAAACTGAAACAACTTCGTTCGCGACGTCGTCTTCGCAGCGCGGAATTTCACAGCAGCATGGAAATTTGTTCGATGCCTTGTCGCCGCGTTGTTGTTGTTGCAGCTCTCCTGCTCCGCTGTGTCTCCTTTGCCAGCAGTTTGTTTTGTTTGATTTGGATTTGATTTGATTTCAGCAGCAGCAGCAACATTGGCATCAACTGCAGCTTCGGCTTATTCAAATGCCGCGCACAGTTTCTTGACCCCGCCGCGTGTGACGCAGTCGCAGTCGCAGTCGCCGTGGCAGTCGGAGTTGCAGTCGTAACTGCACATGCGCGCCGGAGCCGCCCCCGCTCGCCCCCTGCCCGCTCACGGTCCGCATGAGCCGCATCCTCCATGTTGCCAATTGCTGCTTGGCAAAAGGTTGGCTGAGCAAACGTCGCCGGCTCGACGTTTGCGGGAAATGCGATTGACGGTAATTGGTTGACGTTTGTCTTATTTAAATTTGTTTTTCTTTGCGATTTTCCTTGGCCTTCCGCTCGCCCGCCCTCCGCCTCACCCGCTGACTGCGCATGAGCTAACCTACAGCAGAATGCAGTTGAGGGACTTTTCTGTAAAGGTTTGGATGCCAGGCCAAAGAAATCAGTTGCTAATGACGATTTGGGCATGCGTGCCGTAAAGCTATGCCTGCATTGCCTTATAGAGTATACAAACTTCGTTGTGCATTGCGGCAGATCCTCCCAGCCGCAGTCGCAGTTGCCGTTGCAGTCGGCGTGCAACTTTAATTGAAATGAAATGAGTTTCGTCGATTTGTGTTCTAGGAATTTGTTTTTGATTGTTTTCTTGTAAATTTGAATGATTATCGAGGCAGTTGCAACTTGCAACAGTTGCGCAACAACAACAACAACTGGCAGCAAGAGTCGTCGACCCGCGCGTAATTGCAGAACTCTGACTGAGAACCTAGTCGAACCCTAGCCACTGCATCGACCAGTGTTCAATTGGGGGGAAGTCTCTACTTTGTCTGGGGCTCTGGGTAATTGAACTGTGTGCACTTTTAATTGTGTGTGCATGTGACGCGGAAGCGTCTAAGAACTGGGCCAGGATTTGCAGCCAGAGAACGAGAGAGAGAGAGAGAGAGGCGGAGACGGAGAGCAGGTAGGAAGCCACTGGCAGAGGGCAATTTGTTACCGCTACATCGCAAATATCGCGTATATATCGCAGATCAAGTTGCGAGCCACGCTAAGCGAAAAGCACTTCCTCAATGTTTAAATAAACATATTGAGCGACCGGTGAGGGGACGGGCGGCAGTCAAGCTCAAGATTGAAACCGAAACTGATGCGTAGTTTAGGGCGATTTACACAGTTTAAACAGACGGCGATACAAATCGCCGGCACATGAGCCGCGGCCAACTTGGAGGCTGTGTTTCAGCCATGGCAGGCAGCTGTTCCAACCGCCGCCGCCAGCTCCGCAGTTCTGGCTCTGTCTTCCTGTGTGCCATAACTGTAGCAAATGGCCAGGCAACATGCAGCCAGGCCGTTGGGCAGAATGAGAACGACAGCAACTGAGGCCTGAGATTTTTTTTGTCTTGTACCTTGAAAGCCCATTTTAAATGGGTAAGGGTATCAGGGTTGTGTGCAAGTGTATGTAACAGACCGAAGAAGGCATATCCGACTCGAGCAGTTCTATATTCTCGATCAGCATCAAAAGTCGAGTCGTTCTCGACATGACTGTCTATCGTCTCATGATAGCAGAGACTATAAGAGCTAGATATTTGAAATTTAGCTGCTTCGAGGAAATCGATAAAAATCGATTATTCAGATCAGTTTTTTGATCGTATCTTGGAGCTTGTAAGAGCTAGATACATAAAATGCAGTATCTAGCTTCTCGTATAACATACACAGATCCATTTCTGAACAACTCTTAATTAAATCGGATAATAAGCTCCGAAGTTATTATAGAATGATTTAATTAGAGTAACTGACCAAAGGAAGAAGAAATGTTTGTAACAGGGGTTCTCCTAGTCGGTCATTTTGCTGTAGATCACTTCCTTTTTGGCGTAGGCGTCTGCAGTTGGCTTTGGTACCGCGGCAGCCGGCTAGGAAAATGTTATAAATTGCATATTTGATGAACAGAGAAACGTTTATGGTTCTTGAGAGTAAAATGCGAGGCCAGCTGTGCGTCGCTTTGCCGCATGCCGCATGCCGCATGCCGCTTGTCGACTCCGTATCCGACTCAGAGTCAGAGTTGGAGTCTGCCTTTTAGCGCTTGCATGTCGGCTGATTAATTGCGCCAGCGTCATAAACGTGATGATATCGCAATGTAAGCGCATTTTTCATGTTATTCAATTCGTTGCCGCCAGCCTGAGCTTCAGCTCCAGCTACAGCTCCAGCTCCGGCTCCGGCTCCAACCGCAGCCAATCTATTTGCATAGCATTTTTGCCATACGCTCGCGCCGCAATACAAAAGACTTAGGCAACAAACTCGATCGGCTCGCACCGTTTTGGGGCCGGCGCGCAAATTAAATCTTTCGATATTGCCAACTAATTACCAACATTAACGCAATTGAGCCTCCTCTATCTATCGCTATATAGATATCTTTTTTCATTTTTTTTTTCTGTTCGCCAGTCTGTTCCGCATTCGCTCTATGTAAATGTAATGCAATCGGGATTTAATTCTTTGCCCAAATGGGCGCAATCAAATTCGTGTTTTGGCCAGGTGTCGATGCTTTGGCAGGTGTTTCGCCTCATTGTCTCGCCTCTAAGCTTAGCAGGAAGCATTTGGCATGTGTCCATAAATTATTAAGTGTTGCTCTATTGAAATTTTCGCTGCGTTATTCGAACTGGGAAACCAAAAACAACGTCAGCAATTGCGCAGTTTTCACCTGACCATGCTCCCCATTTGGTAATAGCCAGTTAACTATTGTGTGCTTGAAACGTTTAACTGAATAGTTTCTGTTGTTGTTGTTGTTGTTGATGTTAACCTCAGTGTAAGCCAATGTTTATTTATAAGGGGCAACAGGTCATAAAACTAACGCTGTCGTCTTTGAACTCAATAGAGAAGGCAAAGGGAATCGAAAGCAATTTCTTATATTTTATAATTGTTTATATTTAAAGCCTCTTGGAGAATGAGTTTCTTTAAATTCAACTAGGAACATATGTAAGAAGAAATAGAGGGAATAGCGGCTATCTTTGAGGTATTTAAATTTATTTTTCAATTAGTATAAGGACATTCTGATATTAAGTGAGAGAGTTTAGTTGGAAAATGTTCTATGAGAATGTTCTGTTCTCTTTTAGGCGATTGCCGTTTGTTAATATAGTTTTTGAATATCTCAACTGAAAAAGATTAGATTTTTTTTTAAATAAACGAAATCGAATCATAATTATCGTTTGCCGATAAAAAAAAATTGTTCCATGATCGATCGGTTCGAGTTGTAGCGATTTAAAATTTGGTTTAATTATGTCATATATAGTTTTATTTCTTGGCTGTATTGTAATATATTATTATCATTTCAGATAAAAGTCCTTACGGAACTGACATCTAATCTATAGCTTCACGGAGTTTCTTTGAAGCTTTTAGCACGCAACGAGCGCATACACGATCAATGCTGATGGTTCGTAGATGACCCACATATCTTCGATCATGCCATATCAGAGATATAGTCCTGGCGAACCTAAATACCCGAATTTTTGTAAAATAAGCAAAAATTTGGCCGAGAAATATGTATGATTTTACTTTCAGCCGGCCTTAACAGCCTTCACTGGTTCCTAGTTGGCGTAAATATCCTTGATTATACCATATCATAGATATTGTCCTGGTGAACCTAAATCAGTATATATTCGCCCAATATGCATGGAAATGGTCCAGAAATATACTGACGTGAAGTGACCACATCTCAGGTAATTTAATCCCGAATTGCAGGAGATCAGGTGCGTTGAACTCGTTGAAATCCATAGTAAAGAAATACATTAAAATTTTTTTATTTCAGGAAAAGGAACTTTTGACACAGGATTCACAGATTCACACAGGATTGTTTAGACCAAGACCAAAGAACATCATTATCGCCCTTGCAGTTTCTAAGATATGAAGAAGGATATGAAATGTGCAAGGATATGGCCGATTTATAGCCATTTTTATAAAAAGGACATTCGTTTTGCCATAACCATGCCAAGAATATCGGAAGGATACAACTTTTTGAGTGTGTGAAATGAATTGTATGGACCAGGTCTATCATCTGACAAAAGGGCATCGAATTCGTCCTTGTAGTTTCTAAGATATGGAGGATTTTGTGTATTTTGCCAGTTTTCCTTGCCCGAAAATTTTTACAAGTACAGGATTCTTAGATGACCCCATAATTTTTTGATGCAGATCGATGCAATTGGTCCTTACGATCATAAAGCACCATGTCCTGCAAAAATGTGCAAGGATATGGCCGAGTTATGGCCATTTTTCTAAAAAGGACATTCGTTTTTTGGCCATAGCCCTGCCAAATCCTGAAGGATATCGGAAGGATATACCTTTTTGAGCTCGTAGGAAGCAGGACTATCGATTCGCATTCAAGGATTTCCAGGATTCAATCAAAAATTTACCTAAAAAATTTTCCTAGGGGGTTGCTCACAAAATCGGCAAAAATCAATAAAATCAGGGCTAACTTGGCCATTTTAAGGACTATCATGATGTCCTTTGCACAGTAGATAGTCCTCGTCCCCCCAATTACGAATTAGCAATAAAAAGGACGAAAATCCTGCAAACGGCGGAGCAAAAATGCCAAATTTACAAACACAAAATAGCCTATAACTCAGCTATATCCTTGCGTATCCTGACGAGTCCTGTGTCAAATGAATTGTATGGACCGGGTTTATCATCTGGCCAAAGGGCATCGAAATCGTCCTAGTAGTTTCTAAGATATGAAGGATTTTGTGTATTTGGCCTGTTTTCCTTGCAAATTGAGGCCGAAAATTTTTACAAGTACAGGATTCTTAGATGACCCCATAATTTTTTGATGCAGATCGATGCAATTGGTCCTTACGATCATAAAGCACCATGTCCTGCAAAAATGTGCAAGGATATGGCCGAGTTATGGCCATTTTTCTAAAAAGGACATTCGTTTTTTGGCCATAGCCCTGCCAAATCCTGAAGGATATCGGAAGGATATACCTTTTTGAGCTCGTAGGAAGCAGGACTATCGATTCGCATTCAAGGATTTCCAGGATTCAATCAAAAATTTACCTAAAAAATTTTCCTAGGGGGTTGCTCACAAAATCGGCAAAAATCAATAAAATCAGGGCTAACTTGGCCATTTTAAGGACTATCATGATGTCCTTTGCACAGTAGATAGTCCTCGTCCCCCCAATTACGAATTAGCAATAAAAAGGACGAAAATCCTTCAAACGGCGGAGCAAAAATGCCAAATTTACAAACACAAAATAGCCTATAACTCAGCTATATCCTTGCGTATCCTGACGAGTCCTGTGTCAAATGAATTGTATGGACCAGGTCTATCATCTGGCAAAAGGGCATCGAAATCGTCCTTGTAGTTTCTAAGATATGAAGGATTTTGTGTATTTGGCCTGTTTTCCTTGCAAATTGAGGCCGAAAATTTTTACAAGTACAGGATTCTTAGATGACCCCATAATTTTTTGATGCAGATCGATGCAATTGGTCCTTACGATCATAAAGCACCATGTCCTGCAAAAATGTGCAAGGATATGGCCGAGTTATGGCCATTTTTCTAAAAAGGACATTTGTTTTTTGGCCATAGCCCTGCCAAATCCTGAAGGATATCGGAAGGATATACCTTTTTGAGCTCGTAGGAAGCAGGACTATCGATTCGCATTCAAGGATTTCCAGGATTCAATCAAAAATTTACCTAAAAAATTTTCCTAGGGGGTTGCTCACAAAATCGGCAAAAATCAATAAAATCAGGGCTAACTTGGCCATTTTAAGGACTATCATGATGTCCTTTGCACAGTAGATAGTCCTCGTCCCCCCAATTACGAATTAGCAATAAAAAGGACGAAAATCCTTCAAACGGCGGAGCAAAAATGCCAAATTTACAAACACAAAATAGCCTATAACTCAGCTATATCCTTGCGTATCCTGACGAGTCCTGTGTCAAATGAATTGTATGGACCAGGTCTATCATCTGGCCAAAGGGCATCGAAATCGTCCTTGTAGTTTCTAAGATATGAAGGATTTTTTGTATTTGGCCTGTTTTCCTTGCAAATTGAGGCCGAAAATTTTTACAAGTACAGGATTCTTAGATGACCCCATAATTTTTTGATGCAGATCGATGCAATTGGTCCTTACGATCATAAAGCACCATGTCCTGCCAAAATGTGCAAGGATATGGCCGAGTTTTGGTCATTTTTCTAAAAAGAATATTGGTTTTTTTGTCATAATTCTGCACTGGGGAGCAGGACTATCGATTAGCATTCAAGGATTCGACCGGAATGGGAAAACAGACCGAAAACACAAATATGTTAATTCTAATATAATGCCTTACCGTATTTTTAATGTTTCTATAAAGTATAATTATTTAATACCTGCGCAATTCCCACATTGTTGCTTCATTTATGGCTTGAGCAACTTTCAAGACGCAATTTGGTTAATTAGAATTAGTTATTACATTTTCTCATAGTTGTTGCAGCTGCAGTTGTTGACGTTAAACAAACGATAGAAATTATTCTCATTTCTATAGCTGTTCCAATTGTTTTCATTTAATATAACGCCCACAAGCGTTTGAAGGAATTACGGGTTATTTTGCATATACAATTTTAATATTTCTGAGACATTTATTAGACACAAATAGAATGTAGTTATAGTATAATATACTCTATATGCTCGTATGCTATATAAGCGATATAATTGTAATAACTAAAATGTACACGCTAAACGACTAAGACAATGCATTGCGAGAGCTTGAGCGAAAGTGAGAGGGAACTAGTTAGTTTATCTCGGTCTCCTGCTCTCTCTTTCGCTCCGCTTAGCTCTGTGCAACTAAAGACTAACGAGAGAATAGGTAATTGTAATTGTAATTAAATTGCATTAATTATAAACAATTACGAATACAGTTTCACGAAATACAATGCACAACATACGAAACAACATTTAAATTATGAGGAGAAATTAATAAATTCATTTCAACTATTTGAATATAACATTAAATATGCATAGTTTATGTTGTTGTTATTGTTGTTGTGGCTGTTGTAGGTGCAGCTGTTGCATAACTTCTTCTAGTTAAATAATGTACGAGATATATATATATATATATATGTAATATTGCTTATCTATATAATATACTTATATGCATATTGTATATGTATATGTATTTGTTCATATATGTGTGTATTTTGATATTGCTGCGGGCGTCTTCGTCTGCTCCCTTCGCCGCTGTCTTTGCTGCTGCTTCTTCTTCTGCCTCTCTTGTTGCAGCCTTTGCAAGACGAGCTTTAAGCTATATTTATGTTTTTTTTTTTTGTTTAAGCTTAGTTACAACATTCGTTAATTTTGTAAAATTTAAATGTGACTCAAACTGGAAGCGACAGCAAAATGATAAATGGCTTTTGTTTTAATTGTTTATGTTTTGTTTTTTCCTTCTTTGCCACATCGCATCGTTTAAAAATATTAACTAAAAGTGTCGCATAATATTAAATAAAACATAAAATTAAAATCACAATTTTATAGACTTGATGTGTGTAGGTGTGTGTTGTGTTGTGTGCGTGTGTGTATGTACGTGTGTGTGTGTGTGTGTGCTGTCAGCGCTTCATGTGATTGGTTTTGTTTGGTTCTTCCGTCATTTTTTCTTCACTGTATCTCCGTCTCTCTTATTATTCGTTCTCTTTCGTCCATCCAGGCAAAATATTCTTCAAAAATATTTCAGTGGAATTTTTGTATAAAGCATAGTTCTGGGCGCAGGGGAAGGCACAATTCAATTGTTAATTAAAATTGCTGCTGCAAGCTAAAATGGTGAAAGCTGCAAGAGAAACAGAGAAGAGAGAGAAACCGAGAGAAAGACTGCGAGTCAGTAAGTGCGAGAGACGGAGAGCGACTGAGATTGGAGACAGCTTGAGAGAGGAAATTAGTTTAGGTTAGCTGCACGAATTTAATAAGCAAAACAATCATAGGGCTGCACGATTTGCATTGCCACGCCCCCCGTTCGCCCAACCACCAACCCCTCGAAGCACAGCCTCTGCTCACCTGCAGGAACACACACAGCGCTAAATATTGCTGATGCTTGTTGTTGTTGTTGTTTTTGTTGTAGTTGTTGTTGTAGATGTTGTTGTTGTTGTTGTCTGTGGGTTTGTCGTTGATGGCAGCGAAACGATTTGGCAACGAATCTCCTCCACTTCATTCCAGTCCACTCTGGTCCACTCCACTCCACTCCACTCCACTACACTCCCCTCCATTCCAGCTCGACTCCGCATAGCTCGGCAACCCTTTTGACATCCTAGAGATAGAGCGTCGCCTGCTGACGCTGATCAAAATGATGCACATAGAGCTTCTTCTTGGACTTCTCCTTGGATGGCCGCAAATCCCACACCAGATTGGAGAGGCTGCGCGGCCGCGACAAGCGTCGCGTCTTCTTCTCCGGCAGCTTCTGTGAATCGCCCGATGTGCGTCCCCCGCTGCGCGACGAGTCCAGCGTTCCCTCGCGCGGATTATGGTTGTTGTGATTGTTGTTGTTGTTGCTGCTCGAGCTGCGGCTGTGCGCCAGATAGCCGTGCGAGTTGAGTATGCTGCCGCACTTGAGCACCACATCGGGCGGCGTCTGTGAGCCACCCCCGCCCCCGCCCCCACCGGCTGCTGCTGTCTTGGCTGAGATCGTCGGCGGCGTCATGGCCCCTGTATTGCTGTCCGGCGTCAGCTGCAGGCTGCTGAGGCTCTTGTATCTGTGGCGGCAATATTGTTCCAAGACAATTAAATGATTTCCCAATTAGACATTTGGCTTTACTCTAACTGGACAATTTCAGTACACTTAAAACCAAAACCAAACCAAAAAAAAACAAGACACAAAAACCAAGAAACCAAGAAACAAATAAAAACAAGTAAGAGGTTATAGCCGGGAGCTCCCGAGTAGGGGATACCCTACTAACCCGCCTCTTCCAACATCAAATGCATATATATATTCTATTTTAGAAGCAACATATCATGTTTCGTGAGTCTAGCTCTTATTATTGTAATAGGATAAGAGCATCATTGGTAACCCTAGCCAGGGTATTATAGTGTCACTATCTATGTTAATTATAACAGTACGATAAGTAAATATCGATAAAGAAAAGCGGCTGCAGAGAAGAAGTGGAAGGCAGTCTCTCTACAGTACTAGCAGTAAGAAGACGTGTTGTTAAAAATAAAAAGGCAACCCGAACATAAGTTAAATCAACGAAGAAAATCATACTATTACAATATCAGAAGTGGGATTGACTCAGAAAAAAAAAAAAAAACACAACAAAATGGAAAATATAAATATAAATGACGTGTCAATAGCGACATTGAAAAGTTGGTTGGCATTACTAAATTTGCCAACAGAGGGTACCAAAACTGAGCTGATGGCGAGATTAAATAAGGTACCAGTGGACATCCGAGACGATGCTGCAAAGGAACTTGAAGTTCAACGTAACAAGGAACAGACAATTGAGGCTCAAAATGAGTTGCAAAACATAATGCAACAACAGCATGACGAAATAGCAAATGGCGCCGAGATGCTGAAATTGATGCGTCTCGAAATTGAAGCGTCTCGAAAATTCCTAGAAGAATTTCAAGTAACGGTGAACCGCAACTCGCACATCGGCGGGAGCGACGGGGGAGAGCAAGAAAGTGAAGTCGGCGATTTATTGCAGCTAGAGGATGGTCACACTGAAGAAAGACCACGGTCGACGGATGGCAACGCTGGTGCAGCTGATTACACTGGAACGGATGGCAACGCTGGTGCAGCTGATCACGCTGGTGCAGCGGGCAACGCTGGGGCAGCTGGAAGGATCGACGAAAGTGGCAACGCTGTCGGAGGCAACTTAAATAATTGCATCCAAACTGGAGCGATGATGTTAGCCAAGGAAATTTTATTAGAATTTACTGGAGAAAGTGAGGGGCGTAAATGGGTAATGCAATTCTTCAATGTGGCCAAGATCTACAGACTAAATGATATGCAACAGCACTTGCTTTGTATAAGCAAATTGAAAGGCGGTGCTTTGAAGTGGTTGCATGCAGACCCTATGCGCATCATTGCTCCGATTGACGAGATGCTAAATCAATTGGTTTTGGCCTTCGGGGGAGGATTTTCGAAGTCGGAACTACGACAGAAGTTCGAGGATCGGGTTTGGAAACCAGATGAGGTGTTCGCCACATATTTTAGCGAAAAAAGCATATTGGCACAGGACATCAACATTGATGTAGAGGAGTTAATGGAGGGTATTATTCGAGGCATACCTTGCGAAAACTTGCGCACTCAAGCTAGTATGCATTGCTTTACCAATCCGGCTCAAATTTTACGTGCGTTTGCAGCTATAAAGTTGCCAATTAAACGGGTACGAAACCATGTAGTGAAACAAACTGCACAGGAAGCACAGGCGGACAAACAACAACGTTGCTACAATTGCAATGTTAAGGGCCATTGGGCCAAAGATTGTTTAAAGCCCAAACGGGAGGCAGGATCTTGCTATGCGTGCGGCTCAAAGGATCATTTAATAGCAGGATGTCCAAATAAAAAGTATGATATGGAAAACAAATATGTAAGATACTTAAGAATTCATTTTAGTAACTCATTTAACAAATCAATAATTGCAGAATGCCTTATAGACTCTGGCAGCCCTATTTCATTTTTAAAGGAAAAGTTTGTGCCATTAAAAGTAAAGCGTATGCCAGATGCAAATTCGTATGTAGGTTTAAATGAAAGTAAATTGAAAAATTTTGGAAAAATTTTATGTTTTATGAAGAAAAAGTTAATAAATGTTTATTTTAATGTTATAATTGTGGCAAATGAGTCTATGAGGTATGACGCTGTGCTTGGTAGAGATTTTATGGATTCTTTTGGTTTAAATATTGATTTAAGAACATTAAAAATTGTGAACGGGCATAAAGTTGATCACCAGAATAATGGTAAAAATGATATCATAGCTACAAGCTACAAAGAAAAACAAAAAAAAGTGGACGATGAAGATATCAAACACGAGCAAAATGAAACTATATTGTTAAATGATAAAATCGTTAATAAGGAAATAGTCAGTAATGAAACTGTTAGTGATGAATTAGTTAGTGAGAAAATTGTTAGTCCGGAAACGCTTGGTGATAAAGTTGGTAGTGATGAGATAGTTAGAAATAAAATAATTAGTGGTGAAATAGTTAGAAATGAAGTGATTGGGATCGAAACTGTTAGTGATGAGATAGTTAGTTATGGAGAGCTTAAGCTCGAACCTGATAGTGAAGAAGTTGTTAGTGATGAAATTATCTATAATCAAACCGGGATTGAAAAAGTGATTATAGAAGATATAGGAAACAGTGCAGTTAAAATTAATAATCATGTTAATGAAGCGCCAGTGAATAGCGAAATCATGGGAGTGTTAGAAGAGAATTTTGAGAAGGATATCTTAACAATAAGTTGGGAAGATTCTAACAAAAGAGAAAATATATATATTTTAAGTGAAGATATTGATTACAGCACAAAGTGTGAATTTGAAAATTTATTTGAAAATACTTATGTAAAAGCGAAAAGGCCAAATCAGCCAAAATTAAGACATGAGTTAAGCATAAGATTAGAAAACGACAAAGTATTTAATTGTACACCTAGGCGGTTATCTTATATGGAAAAAGAAAAGTTGCAAGAATTATTAGACGACTATTTAAAAGATGGAATCATTAGGCCAAGTTGTTCAGAGTATGCATCACCTATAGTACTAGTGAAGAAAAAAACTGGAGACATGAGGTTATGTATTGATTTTAGAAGACTGAACAAAATTATATGTAGAGACAACTACCCGCTACCATTGATCGACGATTTATTAGACAGACTATGCGGAAAAACAGTATTTTCAAAGTTGGATCTAAAAAACGGGTATTTTCATGTTTTTGTTAATGAGCAATCTATTAAATACACTTCATTTGTTACCCCTTTAGGACAATATGAATTTCTTAGGATGCCCATGGGTTTAAAAACTGCGCCACATGTATTTCAAAGATTTGTTAATAACATATTTTGTGATATGATAAAAGATAATAAGGTAATTGTTTACATGGATGATATTATGATAGCAAGTACAAACATAAAGGAACACATGGAGACCTTAAAGGAAGTGTTTATAAGACTGGTGCAAAACAAATTAGAGTTGAAATTAGATAAGTGTGAATTTTTTAAAAGCAGCGTTAAATATTTAGGATTTGTGGTGGATAGTAAAGGCGTTAGGGCTGATGAAAAAGGGTTAGAAGCGGTTAAATCCTTTCCAATACCAAACAAAATTCAGGGAGTACAAAGTTTCCTAGGGTTATGCTCCTACTTCAGGAGGTTCATTTTAAACTTTTCTATATTAGCTAAACCCTTATATGATTTATTGAAAAAAGATAAGAAATTCAAGTTTGGAGAAGAGGAGTTTAAGTGTTTTAATATGTTAAAAGATAAATTGTTAGAGGCGCCAGTACTATCAATATATAATTACAAAGAAGAAATAGAACTACATTGTGATGCCAGCGCAGTGGGATTTGGGGCTGTTTTATTTCAAAAAAAAGAAGATAGGAAATTACACCCGATTTTTTATTTTTCTAAAAGAACAACCGAAGTAGAGTCTAAATATCATAGTTTTGAGTTAGAAACGCTAGCCATCATTTACGCATTACGCAGATTTCGTATATATCTACAGGGAAAACGATTTAAAATAATGACGGATTGCAACTCTTTAACTTTAACGCTTAACAAAATAGATTTAAATCCGAGAATTGCTAGATGGGCGTTAGAACTACAAAATTACGATTTTGAGTTAGTGCATAGATCGGGCAAGCAAATGCAACATGTGGATGCGTTAAGCAGATGTTATGAGGACATTTTAGTTATTGAATCCAATAGTTTTGAGGACAATTTAGTTATTTGCCAAAGCAAAGATGACAAACTGGTAGATATTAGAAAGATGTTAGAAAAAGAAGAGCACAAGCTATTCGAAATGAGAAATGGGGTCATTTACAGAAAAACAAATGATGGCAGATTAGTTTTTTATGTACCAAAGGATATGGAAGAACATGTACTTTACAAATATCATGATGAGTTGGGACATGCTGGGAGAGATAAGATGATCGATGCCATTGGAAAGAGTTACTGGTTCCCATATATTAAGGAAAAAGCAATAAAGCATATAGGGAATTGTTTAAAATGCATTGCCTTCGCCCCCAAGACGGGTAAGAGTGAAGGACTATTACATAGCATACCGAAAGGAAACAAACCGTGGGAGATGATCCATATAGACCATTATGGACCAATTAATGCAGGAAGGGCTAATAAATATATATTGGCGGTGGTTGACGGATTTTCAAAATTTGTTAGACTATATACAGCAAAGACAACAAGTACGAAAGAAGCGATTAAGGCATTAAAAGATTATTTCAGAGCGTATAGTAGACCTAAGTTCATTGTATCGGACAGAGGGAGTTGTTTTACTGCAAAAGAGTTTGATGAATTTTTAAAAAATGAGGGAGTAACGCATATTAAAATAGCAACGGGTTGTCCGCAAGCAAATGGTCAGGTGGAAAGGTTGAATAGGGACTTGGGTCCGATGATGGCAAAAATGGCGGAGCCAGAAAATGGTTTACATTGGGATGTTATTATAGAAAATGTTGAATATGCAATAAACAACACACAACACAAAAGCATAAAGAAATTTCCAAGCGAAATGTTATTCGGATTACAACAGAAAGGAAAAGTTGTTGATGAATTAAAAGAAAAATTAGAAGAGTTTACACAGGTGAACACGTGTGATAAAAGAAATTTAGAAAATATAAGAAAGAGTGGAGAAATATATCAAAAAGAAGCTCAAATCAGAAATGAAGAGCGGATTAATAAAAAGAAGAAAGTATCAGTAGAATATAAAATAGGTGACTATGTCATGGTAAAAAATTTTGATAGCACACCAGGAGTTTCAAAAAAGTTAATACCAAGATATAAAGGGCCTTATAGTATAGAAAAGATTTTAAAAAATGATAGATACTTGTTAAAGGATGTAGAAGGCTTTCAATTATCTCGCAACCCGTACGTTGGTATCTGGAATAGCCAAAACTTTAAGCATTGGATGCGAAAATAGGCAATAAGCATTAGTTATAAAGATAGATACACATATAAAAGACAGAGATCGGGAGCTCTCTTTGTCAGGATGGCCGAGTTGTAATAGGATAAGAGCATCATTGGTAACCCTAGCCAGGGTATTATAGTGTCACTATCTATGTTAATTATAACAGTACGATAAGTAAATATCGATAAAGAAAAGCGGCTGCAGAGAAGAAGTGGAAGGCAGTCTCTCTACAGTACTAGCAGTAAGAAGACGTGTTGTTAAAAATAAAAAGGCAACCCGAACATAAGTTAAATCAACGAAGAAAATCATACTATTACATTATTTACCAAAATTGCCCAAAAAACGAGATATCGATATCGATTGCTTGGAAACGGAGTAAGTTATCGATTATCGGAAATAAACTCAATCTTTGCAGGCACTAGGAGCACCTACATCTAAAATTTCAAGTCTCTAGCTCTTATAGGTTCTGAGATCCTCGCGTTCATACATACGGAGAGACGGACAGACCCTTTATACCCATTTTTAATGGGTTCAGGGTATAATAAATAAAATGTGTTGAAGTTAAATTAAATTTCCTTTTACGAAGATTTTCTTAAATGTAGTAAAATTTGTTTGTAAGTGTAGCAATCGCTTGCCGCTTACCTGATATGAAACAGCGGCGACTGCGGCTCCAGCGTTTCTTTAACGGGCAAATGATTGTTGGGCGTCAGCACCTTGCCGTGGTGTGGGTGTGCGTGTGGGTGTGTGTGTGCGTGGTGTGCATGGGCATGCGAGTGGGCGTGGTGAGCGTTTACCGCTGCTGCAGCGGCGCTGGCCACAATGGCGGCCGTATTGTTGTTGTTGTTGCTGCTGCTACCCGGCGTTGGCGGCAGCTGCTGCTGCGAATGGCTCTGACTGTGACTGTGACTATGGCTGTGACTGTGACTGTGACTGTGACTGGTGCCGGTGCCGGTGGAGTTGCCATTGCTGCTGCTGCCGGCGCTGTGCGCATTCGCATTCTTGATATAAAGCTTTGGTAGTGTGGGACGCTGCCGCTTCTCGGCCGGCTTCTTGCCGGGTATCGTCTCAATGGGCGGCGGCACCGGCTTGATATCCTCCTGTATATGGCTGTGATGATAGTGATTGACCAGCAGCGCCGACGGATGATGGTGATGCTGATGCTGATGTAGCAGCAGCTGCTGCTGTTGCTGATGATGCGGGTACGGATGATGGTGTACTCCACCGCCGCCGCCGCCGCCGTTGCTGCTGCTATGCTTGTTCGACTCCAGGCTGCTGTAGTTGTTATTGTTGTTGTTGTTGTTGCTGCTGGGCTGCTGTGACTGTAGCTGGCCAGCGGCAGCAGGAGCTGCCGGCGCGCGTATCAGGCTGCAGTAGTTGCCATTGCCGCTGCTGTCCGTGTGATGCGACTTGAGTGTGGGCGACTCGCAGATGGGCTCGAAGCGCGACAGGCCCTTTGAGAGCGGCGTCAGGCCGCGCACATAGTCATAGATGTGATCGATCTCGTTGTACTCCTCGGCGATGTCGGCGCTGTTGAGCGCCTGCTGCTGCTGCTTGGACCAGGAGTCGCAGCTGGCGCTCTTGCGCAGCACATAGCCGCTCTCGACCCAACCGCTGGCCAGGCCCGCTGCGGAGGGCAGCATCACCACCGGCAGCCTGTTGCCGCTATTGCGGCTGCTGAACTTGGAGTCCTTCTTCTCCTTTTCGCTCAGCTTGAGATCGACAATCTGCAGGCGATCCCGTGCGTCCGCCAGCAGTCGCTGCGCCTTGTCCAGAAAGCGCGTATACTCTATGAAATGCTCCAGCTGCTCCATATTCTTGACGCGCTGCAGCTTAATCTTTGCATTCAACGGCACCGGCACCAGATCCGTGTCCTTCTGCAGCGGCAGCGCGAAAATCCGATCAATCTCCACGCAGCCCAGCAGCCGCAGCTCCGGCACAAAAGGCTGCTTCAGGCCCTTTGGCGCGCTGCCATGGACGAGTCTGCGCGCAGGTAAAAGGAAATAAAATATGTACATGTGATTAAGGTTTAAGGAATTGTTGCTGCTAGCAGAATAAGGGGAGCCTATCTTGCATAAGTGCACCATTAGGATGGATTCATGAAGAATTCCCTTACGGGATCGGACACCCTATAAAATTCTATAGGCCTAAGTTACGACTTGTCTGGTCTGGCACTCACCTCACAATGACGGGCATTCGCTTGAGCAGCAGATTCTTGACGGTGTGCACTCCGCTGATGCTGTCCTCGCGCGCAATCGGCGAGAACTTGGCTTTGGTATCGAGTGGCAGATTGATGATCTCGTCCTTGATATTCCGGCACTGCAGATATTTGCCGTTGTCGTTCATGGTGGTCAACAGCTCGCCGGCGTGTATGGTGCGATTCATCTGTTGGCAGCGAAACGTTTCGCGCACCAGGACGCGGGCATTGCGCCGCCTGGCCAGCTCCAGAACGGAATCGATGCAGCGCGTCGAGCGTCCATCCTCGCTGAGCAGCTCAAAATAGCCGCCGTATGTCTCCGGTATGAGCACCTTGGCGCCCACATTAGTGGGCTTGCGGCCCTCCTTGATCTTGATGGGCTGCGCCAGTATCTGATATTTTTTGCCAGCGCTCAAAAAGAGAGCCGTGCTCTGGAGCGAGGGCGCCGATAGGGTGGGCACGCCCAGCGCCTGATGCTGGCCCTTAAGTATTTTGGCCACCGCCGGCAGCGGCTGCTTGGAGAAATCGCGCAAATAAACGGGCGTCGCATCCCCAAAACGGGATGCGGCCAATATGATCTGGCCATCGGTGGCGGCCATGTCGCGGTTAAAGAACGAGAGCAGCTTGCTGCGCGCCAGTTGAACATTAAATGAGAGTAAATTTCATTGGACTGGCTGACACGACTCGTTGGAGTTCTCCTCCTCCTGATCCTGCTCCTGATCCTGTTCCTGTTTCTGCTGGCCACCGCCCACAGCGCCTTCCTCGGCCTCGCTGCTGCACGGATCGCTATCCCAGCTGGCGTCGTTGGCGTTCAGCTGATCCTCTAGCTCGAGGGCGCGTCGCTTGATCAGCTCCTGTTGGCGCAGTCGCAGCAATTGGGCACCGCGACTGCAGCAGGCGTGCGCTATTTGCTCCTCAATGGGCGTGCTTGCCGCCGCCGCTGCCTCGATGGCCGCTGTCTGACTGTGGCGCTGACGCTGACGCTGGCGCAGCTGCTGCTGATTGTGGCTCGTCTGGCTCTGGCTCTGACTCTGGCTGTGGCTCTGGCTGGTCAGCAGTCGCGTGGATGTCTGCAGTGCGTAGTTGAGATACTGCATTCGGTTTGTTGCTCGTCTCCCGCTGGCCACAGTGTGCGAAATCTTCTTATTGTTGTTGTGCTTGTTGTTGTTGTTGTTGCAGCTTAGTCAAGTCCTGTGTCCTTCTAAGCGGCAAATCCTGCAAGTTTGTTATGTTCAATTAGCGAAAAGGTTTTATGTTTACGATTTTTTTCTATACATTGCTCTAATCAAAGCGAGCTCTTGACTCGCTTGCGAAAACTTAAAAGTGCGAGGGTTACTCAAGGACTTAGTTGCAATAAAAAAAAAGTCTTTTGAGGTATCTGCCATCAAACATCGAACATAGTCATAAAAATGGGCTATGTGTCTCGCGAGAGGTTGCTGGTTCAACTCCGGCAAAAATTGAAAATGTCTAAAGTTTTCAAATCGCGAACGCCACAAACAATTTCTGTAGAACTTGCATTGGCAACATTGATTTCCCTCAGTGTATATACAAAAAAAAACACAGTCAAGTTCTCACACAACCTACGTCCAGGCAGGCACACACACACACACACACACACACACATACATACAGGTGTTATTTATGAGCTCATAAAGTTGAAAAGAAATTGCAATGCGAAAAAGGCAGCCACAAGATGCATGTAAATATCCAAGTTGACTGCGACAATGCCAAACATGCCATTAAGACCATTAGGCAGTGTAGGGAGCAGCGAGTAGGGAGTAGGAGGTAGGGAGTCGGAGTTTGCCATAAGCCGAGTCGGGCCAACAAATGGCCAGACATTAAAAGTACTTAAAGGATATTTGCATATTTATGAGCCCACATAAATGTGGCTGATTACCAAGGCGAGACATGCGCGCCTGCACTCCATTGAATTGGTCAACAATGTGGCGACTAGTCTGTTTGTCTGGCTGCAAACGCTGACTAAATTAGTTGGCAAATTAGATAGTAAAAAACAAAATAAAGAGTGAAAAAGGCTAAATGCTAAGTAAGCCCACAATTGAGGCGTGCCTGGGCAACAGAGCGTGGAATATGCATTGGCAAAGTAACTCAACTGCGCGAGGCTCATAAACAATTTACGGGCCATGGCTAAAAGGTATTTGCCTCAACAAGAGCAAGAACAAGAAATGTGTGGAAAAAGTGCAGTCACAAAATGTTATAAAACATTTTGTGCTGTACATTAAGCGGGCATTAATTGAAATTTTTATGTGCTGCCAGTGTTGGAAAAGCCATTGTGAGTGCTGGCAAAAAAAGAAAAAACAGCTCAATTTCAGCGTTTTTTTTCTGTGTTACTTTGAGTTTAGTTTTATTTTCTTGTTTTTTTTTTTTTTTTTTTTATATTTGCACTGCTTTCCAATTAATTTGGCCGACTGTGTGTCTTAGACGACGATAACACAGCCAGCAATTAATTTTCACCATGGAAAGTACCTTTTCCGCGGCGCGGCAGGAAAACTAACACAGCGATTCTCACGGTTTTTCGTAACTTATGTGGCGAAACGTGACATTTTCTCGGCTACTGGACAAAAATTGATGCCACAGTCTGGAGGATTGGCCAAGAGTGACTCCAATTGGCACTGGATGCGGCTTCCTGGCGCGTACGTGTCTGGAGTTTAAGTCGCCTGTTCGCTGATGCTATTATTTTTATTTTTTTTGCTTTACTCTCTTCTTTTTTGTTGGATTTTATAGCATGACACAGTTTCACAGTTGCGCCTCGCATTTTACTCGATTTCATTGAGAATGGCTTAATTAATTTAGTGGCGCCCCTGGACTGGATTGGCTGTGGCAAGTAAGTGGCACAGGCTTAGGCTCAGGGCACTCAGACAGCTGCTGCTGCTGCTGCCTCTGCTCCTGCTCCTGTTGCTGATGCCAGGGCAACACTTAACAACTTCCTGTGCAGCAACAATAATATGAGCAGAAGAAAAAAAAAGGAGAAACTCATTTAACTTGCGACTGACACGTTGCAACATCGAAGCAGAAGCCACACAAAAAGTTTTATTTTATTTAGTTTTTTTTTTTTTTTGCTGCTGTTGTTTTTAATAAGCAGGCATGCAAAAGGAAAATACACAACTTGCAATAAACATGAAATCCTTTTCAAGCTCCTGGCCACAGGTTTTCGTTGCTCAATGACGATGACGTTGAGCTCTGCTGAATTCAACCTCTTGAGCCTGTTGCTGCTCTTGCGGCTGTTTCCTGCCCAGAAGGGCGAAAACAAAAGCCGCAGGCAAAACACTTGAGCAAACGAAGCAGCCAGGTTCCAATGGGGTTGAGTTGAACCGGCTATAGGAAAAGTGACAACACATCGTCCTACTCTCCTTACCCCCGTCCTCCATCTGCATGCCGTTCTTCTTCTGGCTATGAAATATGAAATATGTAACCCAAGACGCAGACGGCAACAGCAAATAGTAGGGGAAGAAGCCGCACGCATAATGAGATACAAAGCAACAACAACAACAGTACACCAGGTACACACATAAAAAACGAAACGGAAAGCAATAAAAAACCAAAAAAAAAGCAAAGTTTCAAATGTTGCAACGACTCTTCAATACACTTACTGTTGCGTAGGTCGATGTTATAGAAAATTGTGATTGGTAGAAGTAGAAGTAGATGATACAATCTGTTTAATTAAGCTGAAGGACATAAGAGGACTTTAACCAAATGTTTATCGGTAATAGGTCGGTTGCATTTTGTAGATGACTTTATCGATAACTTTATCGATCACATAGTGAAGAGCAGCTGCGATGCTATCATATTATCGATGGTAGTTTTGAATAGTTGCTTGAAGGCATTTAAATTTGTAAAATGTTGTTTAAAAAGAACTCACATTTCAATATAGATATTTTGCAATTTTCTTTTTTCTAACCAAACAGTGCTTAAAATAAATTTAAGGCTTAATGACTATCGAAAGAAGTAGAAATAATCGATATTAACATTACTTGTACCCCTCTACAGCACTAAATTCAAGTCTTATCACTGCGTTAGCTATAGATTTACAACACTCAAATATGCTCTTTGGATGCCTTTGCAGCACTAAATTCAAGTGTTGGCAACTATAAAAACCCCAACCGTTCCTTTCTTATCAGCATAAAAGACAACATTAACTCACTTGCAGCATGTGTGAAGTTTTGTTATTAATGAACAAGTTATTACGACCTGGGAAAGTGTATATAAGTAGAAGTAAGCGCGATAAAAGCAGCGTTCAAAAGGATTAGGGCAGCACAAACGTGACAGTGTATACAAATGTGTGTGTGTGTGCATGAGTGTGTATCAGTGTGTGTGTGTGTGTGTGTGCATGTGTGTAAGCAAACAGAATCTGTGCATAGGTGTGCACCAGGGTGTGGATACATGTGGGTGGCTTTTGTTTTGCTAACAAAAGCAACAGACGCGCAAAGCCAGCCGAAATAAGAAAATAAAAAAAAATATGAAGAAGGAAAAAGGAAAAGTATAAGGAGCACGTCCCGGTCGCAGGTCAGGCAGCCGCAGCTCATAAAAGGAAGCAAACACATGTGAGCGTGTGTTTGCATAGTTGGAGCAATGCGTGTGTGTGCGTGGGTGTGTGTGTGTGTGTGTGTGTCTGGGCACATTAATCACACTAAAGAGTTTTACAAAATGCAACTCAACTCGACTGCTAGAGCCAGAACCACAGTCAAGTCAAGTAGTTGTTGTTGTTGCTTTAGTTGTTGTTGTTGTCACCACTTTAAGCTGCAGCTTAAAAATTGCGCGCCCCATCCTTGCGGCAAGCTGCTTACGCGGCTAAGCAGCTCGCGCTGTTGCCGCTTCAACGCCAACGCAGCACTTGACGCTCGCAACGCTGACGCTGACGTCGACGTCGATGTCGACTGCAACTGCAACTGCGACAGCGATGTCGAGGCTGATGCATATAATGGAATATAATGCGCGTATTCGCTGGAACTGAAACTGCTTTACGCTTTTCTCTATTTAATTTCATATTCGTTTTGTCAAGCAGCCGCGAAGAATATACCTTCGACTGCAGCTACATCTTGGCCAGCTTCAGGTTGAGCTTCTCGAGCTTCGGCTAGTCCTGGGCTCGGTTGCCTTATTATGTCGTTCTTAACGCTTTTGATTACTTTTTATCCGCTTTGCACGCGGATCTGCTCTTGCTCTTGCTCTTGTTCTTGCTCTTGTTCTTGTTGTTGTTGTTGTTGTTGTTGTCGTCTTTTATATCAATCCCTTGGTGTGACTAATGACACGCCGGCCAAACGGACAACTTTGCCCCGCCCGCTGCCCCACCTGCCGCTCTCGTTTGCTTAGTCGCCCTGATGTAAATAATGAAATAATATGGTTTTTCTCTTGTCTACCATGAAAAATTAACGCGCTGCCCATTCTTGACTTTTTTCCCCATTTATGTTTTTTTCTGCACGCTCTTGGTTTTCATATCGCTGGACAGTTGGTTTTTGCTTTCATTTGTCAAGTTGAGAGTTCTGAGTTTTTGCCCCCTTTCGGTGTGTGTGTGTGAAAGGCGTTGAGTCTGTTTGGGGTTTCATTCTGGGCTTTTGGAGAGGTGGGAGGCGTGCGACCAGAAGGTTGTTTATGGGCATTATGTGTACATAAGGTTATTGCACTGAAACCAAAAGTTGTGGTCAGCTTTGATAGGCTGAGTGGGTTAGAGAGTTCTTGGGTTTTGTTTTGAGTAATGAGTAGGTATAAAACTTGGCCAGGTTTTTAATACCCCAAACACAATGAGCATGGTATAAAGCGGATATATTGCTTGTGTGCAAATCTGCGTAGGCGGCCGAAGAGAGCAACTACAATTCCATAATGAATATAAATACATATATTTTTGAACAGCATGACAAGTAGACATGCTGCTAAAGTCATCCAGGATATAAAGCTAAAGATTATATTTAATTATTCTCCCAAGCCACACGCATGCGAGTTTATCTTCACTTTCTCCCTTCTCATAACACTACCATTTATCGAATGTGAGACAGTGTTATTCTATGCGAAACTCGAGAAATATGTGAGTTGTTTACACCAAACTAGGTATGCATCTTCTCGTAAGCTATACAAATCTTGGCAATATTTCACATTTTGGATGCCTGCCCGCGTTTCTAAGTTAAACTGTATGCCCGACTGCTGCACTCCCCACTCTTTAATTCCCCGTTCAAGGCATGAAAACTGTATTCACATTAAACTGTTAA